AACAACGTAAAGACCGCCGTCTGTGACATCCCACCCCGTGGTCTCAAGATGTCCAGCACCTTCATCGGTAACAGCACGGCCATCCAAGAGCTGTTCAAGCGTGTATCTGAGCAGTTCACCGCTATGTTCCGTCGTAAGGCTTTCTTGCATTGGTACACTGGTGAAGGTATGGATGAGATGGAATTCACTGAAGCCGAATCTAACATGAATGACTTGGTATCTGAATACCAACAATACCAGGATGCAACAGCTGAGGAAGAGGGTGAATTTGATGAGGAGGAAGGTGAAGATGAAGCTGCATAAATACGATACCGACATAATTAACAGTGCATTTCTAATGCTCATACATGTAGAAATATAATAGGCACATGGGTTGGATAGTTAGAAATTCTGGGGGCGATGGCAGATTTCACCCCAAAAAATGCACAGTAAAAAATCGAGGGGGAAGCTACATAAATTGCGTAAACTGAATATTGACAAAACAAACACTCATATGTGAATATAGATTTCAATTAATAATTATTATATTTGGAAGTTGTGTGTTGGGGTATGAATGAAAAAAATCATGACCCTGCAGGGAACAATAACAGAAAACCAAAATCTGGGGTGGGGGGGAGTATTTCATACAGTGGGAACAGTTACAGCAAATTCATCATGGAAAAAAATAGCAAAAACAAACGGAAGCAAACAAATAGTAGTTTTTTAAGCTCCCGCCCCCGATTTTCTAACTGCAGGGCTCTCCACAAATTAGCAAATTAGCAAATGCATGTCGTAGGGCATGCATGCTTTTTGTTGAGGATAATTTTTCCTGATTCTTACTTTTGAAGTATGAAGCAATAAATATCATTTTTTGGACCTTTATTTCTTGGTATACACCAAGAGAAAATTGAAGAATCAACAAATGATTGAAATTATTCACTTCTTGGTTTATCACCTGTAATTAACTGGTATCTCAATAACGTTGGCGTGACGTGCGGAAAATATAGCAGAAATAAAGGATGAATAAAGAGGGCCCTTCAAAATCACTCGTGGAGAACCCTGTAATTTCCACCTCTAATTTGAATAAAATAACGTATTAATACGATAAAACGAGTCTGTATTTATTGTGGGTGTGGTATGATGTTGAATTCAGTCATCCGCCTGTTACCAGAGCATGAACAATTTAAATATGTAGAACTTATTGAATCAGTTGATTTATTTTTCTACACTATATATTGTTGTGGTGGCCTCCATCTCAACTACTATAATTCCATTACGTGTGAGTGAGCCCAATTGGTTGAAATCGATTTTTTTTAAATGCATGTATGAATATCCCGGTGTTGGATGCTATAAACGTAAAATGTGTATATTGTTTTATCACCCATCTAGACACGCATTAAGTAAATTTTTTGATAGAAAGTTAGACTGAGTCTGAGTGTACATGAAGTCCTGCAATGAAGCATCCTGATTGGTTGGCATGCACTATGTGGGCCGTGTTGTTGCCATGACTATAATTGATTTACGATGGTTGTGACCCGAAACACAATAAGGGTGCCGGCTAACACGATGTCCTTGGCAGTTGCTGAAGTTAGAGACAGGTTTTCCTATACAAGTTGCATCCTTCATTTAGAGTGCAATTTGGGCTATATAAACAAGCTTTCATCAATCCCATATTCCATAGCTTACGCAATAGAACTAAAAATGACATGTACTTTACTATTCCAATGCTGGAATAAGTTAATATTTTATTCGAAAAAAGCATTTCAAATACGTGGGAAAGTTAAACATGTCATTGTGCTATAACAAATGCGTTAACTTCTGATTCAATGTGTTGCGAAGTTGTTTTGTATCAATAGAAAAATCACTGTTCCACAATTCCATAGAACATAATGTTAAAGCATTTTTGAAATAATTATAACAAAATGTATCAGACACGATATAGTTTTCGTCGGTCACATTCGTACATAGGTAGCCTAAAAACGGGAACTTGTCTTGTGGGTTCTGTTAGACCTCAACACAGTATCCATATGCAAAGTTTGTTTTTCATTTTTTATCCAAGCAAAGCAAAAATCAACATTTAAGATGTCATTAAACATCTGTTTCTCGTGCATGCCTGGGCATTCGAACTTTGTACTGACGTCATTCGGGATTGGGTTGTTGATGTCCGTATAATTTTTGTCGGAATAGCCAACTGGCAGCCATTTTTCTATGCATATTGAGTTTTAGGTGGCATCGTATTCCTGTTTTTCAAGATTCGAACAAAATAACCAATTCAGTATTATATTTATATATTTTATTTATACTTTAGTTATAATCATATCCTGCCGATTGCTCACTTATATGTCACCTGAAAGTTTTAAAAAAATGTAGTACCCACTGATGAAAATGCAGTGTAATTATAGGCTCCATTTGTTTTATTTTTCCTATATTGTATATTTTTAATTTTAATTTTTGTTTATTCTGTGACCCTTTGTTTTGTTTTATTTGCTGTTATGAAGTTTTTTTTTTTTATATCGTATCTCCGAGTCGGTCACCTTAACATCTCATTATTAATAAATGAATATAGAAATTTAGTGCAACAAGTTTTTGGACAAGTTTTGTCGACAAGACACGGAGACCTTACAACAAAGTTTACCTGCCTATAGCACACGAGCAATTCAATGTGTTTCATGGCAAATTATGGTATTAGGTTGCCGAGAATTCAATCGGAGATGGTGATTTGGTGGTATATTTAGCCATTTGTATGCAACAATGGTAACTGTTGTGAGTAATTACGATTGGGGAAAAGAATGTATTCGAGTTAATTGCGATATGTATATAACTGATCTAACTATTTTCTTATGATTTTACATTCTCACAATGTGTTTTTCAGAGTGGGTGGCAGAACCAACTGTCGAGTCAGCAGACCGAGTTTTCTCGTTATCACCGACGTGTCGACGTGCTAGCACGTCCTCTATGCCTGATACAATCCGACCCAGTCGCTATATCATCATGAGCATGGATGATACTGGGATTCTTGGCTAATGGCGGCCAAGTAAATTTATAATATTTTCTGGAATCTAACATTTCGGTTTTTGGCGTAATTTCAATTGGCGTTAAAGCAATCGTAATTTCAAGTTTAGCTGTGATTTTCGAAGTTATGCCTATGATGGCGACATTCAAATTTCAACACTTGATTTTAAATTGAACTACGAAAATCTCGATCCAATTTTCAATTTGAGAACGTTCTTTTTATTAACGGGTTATTATTTTCACATAGAGTCAGACCCTACGAGCCCAGCAATAATAATGATAGGGCAAGGGGGGGGGGCAAAGGCAAGAAGAATCAACAATGTTTCCAGTTAGTGATGTTCCGACGCTTCGTTTACATGATGACCTCTAGGATGACCTGCGATGTACAATATAGAATTGGCTGGTTCCCACCTTAAGTGCCATCAAGCCACGAGAGACCGGTAACTAGCAACGATCCGGCATCCTGATTGGTCCATCACTTTCTAGTTGCTTGTTCTATTTCCCTTGCTTACGCTCGTGACCGTTCAGGGGTTTCCTTTTACTTTCGAAAGTATTTTGCAGAGAAACAGCGAGAAATGCCAGAAACATCTCAAATATGTAAGTCTAAGCAGGCAGAATACATGAACGAAACTTGGAAAGTGTTTCAAATTACGTCACTTAGTCATGTGACTTCCGGCCGGAATTTCGGCCCAGTTGAACAATATGGCGACGACTCGTTCTTGTGTCCTACTTGCCATTCGTAAGGGACGCCGGGAACCATCGAAACCATAGAACAGTGATACGTTTCATTGTCTGTCTCGAAAATATTAGTCACAATAATGAGGGGGAGGGGTCTGAGTTGTTTTCTGGTACGTTTTTATATTTTGAGACAATGTATGAAGATTTTTTACATAAGTACACATCAAACGTAACAAACACAAAACAATGTAGACGCTACTGGCACGTTGCTAATGACGGTCAGTGAATTTCGAATATCTTCTAGAATCTGACATTTTAATTTCAACTGATGAATTGTCGTTAAAAATCACAATTCATATTTCAGCCTGTCAATTAAATGAAACGTCCCAATATAAAAATAGGATTTTGATTTTCGACGTTTATTTGAAATCATGTGTTGTCGAAAACTGAATGACGTCATCATAGGCATAACTTCGAGAATCATAGCTAAAATTACCTACTGCCAATTCGTCAATTGAAATTACGCCAACAAATTCTAGAAAATATAAGAAAAATCGACCTGGGCGTCATTAGCTATGATTCGTTACACTTTTATCTCCATGGAGTGGCGACTGGGAATTAATAACAAGGTTTTATCATGGAACTATAAACCATAGTGATACATATTTCATGGTTTTATCTATTCTGTTAATAGTAACAGAATGTTCAAGAATGACAAAAAAATGGTTATCATGTCTTTGATATAAAAACAACTCGTGCAATGTATTAGGTATTTCAAGTTCAATTGAGTGTATTAGCCAACCACTTGTCTGCTTGTCAACTTTTTTTGACAGGCAACATTTCATTATTGTTTTGTTTCAAATCCTGGGTAATAATACCCTGTTTCAGTTGTACTAGTAGTCATCAGGTAGAAGTGGCGTTCACATTACTTGACAGGAACGTCGGGCCCATTCGACACGTGCCGAAAAATATCGATCTCGGTCCCGGTACGTGCCGAGATTACACTATGCCAAGGACAGGGTCAGCCAATAGAGAGTCGAGACCGTGAAGCTCGGTACGTGCCGATATTACACTATACCAAGTACTGTACATGTTGAAACAAACTGGGTCAGCCAATTATTAACATATACTGCACTGTCAATACGACTGTGTCGCGGTCTTGTTTTAACCTCGGTCTCAAAGACGGACCGGAACAGGAAGTCAGTTAAAAAACAAAAGATTCTTTTTATCACCGTGGGCATAGAGGTATATACCTCCATGGCGTGGGAGAAAACAGAGGTGTTAATCCGAAAATTCATCGTCTATCCTTGTTTGTGATTGGTCCTGGCGAGCCACGTCACGATCCCCCCAATCGTTGCCACCTCCTTCCAAAACGCTAACCAACTTTCCCTCACGCCAAAGACAAATCTTTCAACTGACTTACTGTTCATGTGTGTTTTCGAGAATACGCATATGAAAGATATCATTTGGGGTCAGGTGGTACATTAAGAGCTTCATGGCAAAAGTTTTCAAATCTGGACGAAACGGTGGATAGAACCGTCTGTAACAATCCTTCACAGCCGACACCGTCTAAGTGTTAATTAACAACTAGTTGCTTTTAGGGGTCAACTCGGACAACCGCACCTTTATACAAGAATAAAAATACCTGAGTCATGACGTGGCGGAGTGATATGTCCTACCTCTATGATCATTGAGTACGTGACCCAATTGTAACAGATAACGTTGCTATGCGAAAATAATGTGCGTGAAAATAGTGCATAACGACAGGTTTTTTGTTTCGCAAAATATCTTTTAACTGTTAAATTCAGAATTGGCTATTAACAAAAGAAATGTAACACTTCGAACAATAGGCGGATTGGTACACTGGGTTCACACAGTTCATGCGCATTAAGCACACAGTGTAGTGCTTTCAATCCACATTCCGATTCTGACTGAAATTGGACCACAGTGCATTTTATTCTCTCTCGAGAAACATTCCCGCTTCTAACCTTCAATATGCGTGAAATTGTACATCTCCAGGCTGGTCAATGTGGTAACCAAATTGGTGCCAAGGTAAGTATAATTTTCTGCTTGGTTTTAGATGTGATTGGCATCAAATGTACACAACAATGGTCTGTACGGAGCACGAATAGCTTGGCGTTTTAGATTGCACAGCAGACTTATCTCTTGTTTTGGAATCATGAAATAGATTTTGAAACTAAAAATAAAAGCTCCTAGTAGTGAATTTCCGCTGTTCAGGAGTTGATGATTTCCATAATTGTTTATTTTTCAAAATATATATTTTATCGATCCCATACGACTAACCACTGATCAATAAGACGCGAGATTTATGAAAATGG